AGTAATATTGTTGAGTATATTTATCTCATTCAATATTAGAAAATATTTGGCAAACCATCCAGTTCAATACATTTTTAAAACATACTCATTAATAAACTATTACTTTTAAATTTAAATTAATGGAGAAAAAATTTTCAAAAATAAATTTTAATGATTAAAACAAAATATATTATATAATGTATTAAATCAAATGATGTATCAATAATTATACTTCAATATTTCACAGCGCACTTACCCTATTTAGGCCGACGGAAGGGCACCTTATTCTCTCTAGCCACGTGCACGTTAAATACCCCCTTTAAAAACCATGATGGTTTTTGGAAGTTTGAAACCCAAGGATTGATAAGGGAGGCAAGTATCGTCCAAAATTCAGGATCCAAGCATTTAAATTTATTAAGTTAAATGTCAATTTTAGTTTTTTAACTTTAAAGTTTTACATATTTTTGGTTCTTTGATTTTTTTAATGTATTTTTTTAATCCTTCAATTATAAAAAATGTATTTTTTAATCATTTTGTTAGTTAATCTAGTAAATATATTCATATATGTATATTTTTAATCTTTATACTTTAAGTTATAGAACGAAAATTGTGTAAAATTTTAAAATTAAGAGACTAAAAATATATATAGACAAATTTAACAGATAAATTGAAAAAAAAAAACTAAATAAAATATTTTTTTATAATTGATAAACCAAAAAAAGTGAATAAAAAAGTTAAAGAACTAAAATTGACATTTAACATTTATTAAACTAAAACAAAATAGAAAGAAAATGAAAAGATTTAATTAGAAAAAAGTGTTTTGTAATTTAAGTTACATTGAATTACATAACACACTAACTATTAAATGAGAATGGTTCTTAATGTTGAGGGTCCCTCCCCATCTAATAATTCATATTTTTCATTTTTAACTGCCAAACAGAAAGCCCAAAAATTTATTACATACTTGTACACATTTCTTATATTCAAATTGTATAACTTAATTAGTGCGTCAATTATTTTCTGTTACCCAATCGACGATTTGTGTCTCTGATTTTCCATTGTATTAATAGTCCAATATTCATAAACGTTCACTGTGAAATATTAAAGAAAAGCCATGGTAGTTTTATCTCCATTAAAAATAAAAAAAATAAAAAACAATGAGATAAATTTTGAGCAAAAAAAAAATGATAGTTATTTTGGGATAGGAAATAAAGGAGATTGAAGAAAATGGAGATGAAAGGAGGCGTTCTATTGAAGCAATCAAATTGAGATTATCAAATCCTCACATACCTTTGATTACTGATGAATAGGTGGATGGGTCACTGGAGAAGGAGGGGTGAAATTTGGCGGGTTTGTCTTATCAGCAAAGATGGTTTCATTCTGTGGGTCGTGGTTGATGGCTACTGCAAGAATAAATAGTATCATGATAGAAACTATAAAGAGCAAAGAAATGAAGCAAAGTTCGCTTGGAGGAGCCATATATCTGGTGCAGATCAATGGAGAGTAAGCACTGGAGAGGGTTATAGATATCTGATTTCCTTGCATTCATGTAGGCTGTAGCTAGCTAGTTTATTTGTAGAGAGAAGCGGGCGTCGGGTCCTATGGTGGAGAATGCACTAAAGGGGATACTGTTACAAGAGTTTGAGGATACAATGGGGAGATCTTCTCTCTTTGTAGACTTATTTCTTCTCAACTAGCACTTGAGATCTTACGTATGATCTCAACTGGCGTTATGGAGATACTCTTTTTCCGTAAATTAAGATTTGAGATCATACGTAAGATTATCTCAACTGGCACTGGAGATCTTACGTATCACTTGTATCCTAAGATCGTCTCCGCGTGGTCTTTTCTTCGTCATTTTTTAAAACAAAAGTGATTAAGAAACAATTTTTTTTACATTATCATTTAATAATTGATTTTTTATTGAAATTTTTTATGTTATATGTATTTATTAATTTAATAATATTTAAAAGTTATCATAAATAAAAATTATATAAATAAATTGTAAGGTAGTAATTTAATAATTATTTTCTTACATATAACCATGTGAAAATTAGGTATGTAAAATTTAATATAAGATTTGTATCAATTTAAAACCAATAACTAATTAACAATAAATAAAATAACATTTCTTATATTTAAGTCGCATTTATATATTTTTTTTATTATATTCTTAATACAAAATTTTATTACACAACAGCCAAGCAGCTTAACTGCTGAGTTGCCAAATTATCTAACTAGGGGAAGGAATATAATGAAAATCTTCCTAAAACTATGACCACGGTTAGCCATATCAACATAAGTAGTTATAATTTTGTGTAAAACTTGTCTATACAACTTTGTTTAAGAGGATCCTAAAATTAGAATCATCATGTGGGAAACTGTTTTAACTGGAATTAAATAAAGAGCCATCACCGCCAAAGGGAAGGAGAACAAGGGCAATTAGGAAAGAAGGCAGAGAGCAGGAATGGGAATATTTTTATTTTTATTTTTATTTTTTGAGAAAATTTTCTTAAACGCTTCACTTATAACTCAATTGATAAGGTACATTCCTTTCCTAGACCAAATCTCCTTCTCTAAATGAATATACATGCACATAATCTCTCAAGAGTAAGGGAGTTTAGGGACCTTGGGGTAGTTATAATTTTGGGATGAGACTGTTAAAACGGACTTCTGTGGCTGGAAAGCGAAGAGGAAGGGATGTATCAAAGAAAAGATGGGACAAGTTAAAATCAGAGGCAGCCTTTGCTCCTCTTTTTGATCCTGTAATATGACAGCCATGCATGTAAGCTGTCATAAATTAAGTATACTTCGTTCTAAGTTCT